TCCAAAACATATGTTTCGTGTTTTTTCTTTCTTCTTTCTCTTTGCCGTTCATGACAAGCTTTGAGGTACGTTTGGATTATTTCAGTTTGCGGACACGTGAGAGATTTACCGTTATGATTATATATTGAATCATGTGTCAAAATATGGAACACCAGGGTTGCCAAGGTACTTATTTTAAGATTTGCAAATAGAAAAAAAAAAATAAAATTTAGATTTAGAAAATTCATTTTTTTTTCATTCAATTGCCAGTTCGGGTTGTGGAAAATTCCAAGTGGACTTCTGAAAGAAATCCTATATGTATGAGATATATTAGAATAAAGCTTTGACATTTGATAGAGATCTTTGATTAAACATCCAGAATCATTGGTACAAAAAATCGGTCACATCGGTCCAGTTTTATGTTATAACCCCCATGTAAGAATAACTCCGACTTTTCAGTATTTTTACTTACGTTTTGGCCATGTTTTTCGTTTTATTTCCCCAAATTCTGGCATTTTGAGTTCCTATTATGTAAAGAAACAATTTTTACCAAAATTTATCACAATAGGTCAAACCATTGGACCAATAAAAAGGTAAGGTAGAGCTCCCAGCTGATTAAATGTTTTTCTAAGTGAGCCCAACCTCTGCCAATTTTGCGTATGAATTTGTTGTTTTGAAAAATAAAAACAAAATATTTTTAAAACGAATGATTAGGAGAAACTTAAATTGTGGGGTGCGCATTAATAATATTAACCAGATTTGCCATGGAATTGAAAGATTGAACACTTTAGGAGCAGGTACATAAAAAGCTTGAAGTCATGGCTAGGCATATTAATGTCAAATTATAAGGGAAAACGACGGCAGGATTTTAATGCGGCTTTGTAATTCCTTTATGAAATGTCACAAAATATGCCCAGCCATGACTTCAAGCTTCTTATGTACTTGCTCCCTTAGGATCATATTTTTGAGAGAACATCCAGGCATTCCATTCATCTTTCGCGCTATTTGACTCGTTTTAGAAATGAATAAAAAATATCAAATAAATGCCTATAATTTGGAATAATTCTGACAGGAATCGGGCATAGCCTCAGGGCTGTATTTCTGCAGTTTTACGAAGCTGTTCCACCTCCTAATTGTACCATAGGTCAAACTACGAATTCAAATTGAAATTTTAAAATTTTCTCAAGTAAAACTTAAGACGTGGGTACATAAGCAGCTTGAAACCTTATCATGGCATATTTTGTGAAATATCATAGAGGGATGCCAGAGCCGCATTTGAATCCTGCCTTCGTTCTTCCTCATAAAGGCAAAGTATTCAGCATTTACATCATGTAACGCTATACCAAAATTAAGGGAATATTTTTTAAATTTTGGCATAGTTCGGGTTGACCGAACTTAATTCTATTTTTTTCCTTTTTCGAGTTGGCAACCCTGGATTTGTATTAGGCCACAATAAGAAAACGACAACAAAAATAGTCTTCAAAATATTTCGCGTGACAGAAACCCTCAAATGCACCGCAGCCAGGGATGGGCAGAGGTATATCCACAGCCAATGTTTGTTTGTTTTTTGTGATTTGGTTATTTGAGCTGTTGACCTTATATGGGGGGTGGTTCCGAAGATCTTTTATTATTACAAAAATATTTGGATGTGTGAAATTTGAAGAGAATCAGATGCTTATTTAGCATTTTATGAAAGATATAATTTTTCCAAATTTTAAAATACCAGACAAAGTGGTATGATTCGTCCCATCTTCACATCAGATTTTGTGTTGATAGAAATATTGGGATTTGCGAAATTCAAGAAGGATCGGATGCTTATTTCGCATTTTATGAGCATTTTGGTTATGTTGACAGCTTTGTGGGAGAGATACCAGAAGTAGTAGTCCGATGTATTTCATCTTCACACTAAATCTTGTGTTAATAGAAAAATTGAGGTGCGGAAAAGTTGAAGAGAATCGGGTACTTATTTCGCATTTCATGAGATATATAATTACTCTGACATTTTGACCCGCTGTGGGGGAGGTACTAGAAGGAGTGGAGCAATATAATCCATCTTCACACGAGCTCATGCAATAATAGAATTATTAGGATGTGCCGAGTTTGAAAGGAATCGGATGCTTATTTGCATTTAATGAACATTTTGGTCATTCGAAATGTTGACCCCTTTGCGGGGGAGGCACCATAAGGAATAGTCCGATGTAATCAATTTTCACACCATATATTGCGTCGATAAAAATATTGGGATGTGCGAAATTTAAAAATGATCGGATGCTAATTTCGCATATTATGAGAGTTATAATTATACAAAATTTTGACCCCTTTGTGGGGGAGGTACCAGAAAGAGTGGTCCGATATATTTCATATTCACACCAGATCTTGTATTGGAAAAAATATTGGGATGTGTGAAATGTGAAAAGAATTGGGTGCTAATTTCGTATTTCATGAGAGTTATAATTATTCAAAATTTTGACCCCAAAAGGGGTAGTCTGATATATTTTATCTTCACATCAGCTCATCCGCTGATAGAAATACTATAATGTGTGAAGTTTTGAATAGAATCGAAAGCTTATTCTCCATTTTATAAGAATTTTGGTTATTCTAAATTTTGATCCTCTTGTAGGGGAGGTACCAGAAGGAGGGAGCCGATATATACCATCTTTGCGCAAGATCTTGTGTTGATATAAATTTTGCGAAGTGCTAAGTTAAAAAGGGATCAGATGTTAATTTCGAATTTTATGTGGGTATAAATAATTCAACAATTTAACCTCTTTGTGGGGCAGGTACCAGAAAGAGTGGTCCGATATATTCCATCTTCGTAGCAGATCTTGTGTAAGTAGAAATATTGCGATGTGCGAAATTTGAAGAAAATCGGATACATCTTTCGCATTTTATGAAGATCATAATTTTGAATAAATGTTGACACCTTTGTGGGGCAGGTACTAGAAAGAGTGGGACGATATATTCCATCTTCACAATAGATCTTCTGTTGGTAGGAATATTGAGATGTGCGAAATGTGAAGACAATCACATTCTTATTTCACATCTTATTAGTAATTGTCCGCTGTTTCGTCAGCGAAAAAAAAACATTTAAATTTTAGATTCGTCCCAGAAGTCAGTGTTAGGCCTTTTTAGTACTCAAAATTCCCAATTTAAAATTTAAAACTTTTCGTACAATTACAGTACACATTTCGAAAATCACCTCAATATCTCAATTCCAGATACCAACAGAGACCTCAATATCAAATTTTAGAATTCCAGCCCCATCCCTTCACCCAATACCAAATTTAGTACCATTTAGTACTTTTCGTGCAAATAAAAGACGCCCCAATTTCAACCAAAATCATTTTCATATCTCATTTCCAGATACCCACAGAGACCTCAATGTCAAATTTAAGGATTCTAATCCTATCCCTTCACCTAATGCCAAATTTAGTACCATTCAGTACTTTTCGTACAATTGCAGTACACATTTATAAAATTGTATTTTTCGTACAATAACAGTACACATTTCCAAAACCACCTCCATATCTCAATTCCAGATATCAACAGAGACCTCAATATCAAATTTGAGGATTTCAGCCCTATTCCTTCGCCCAATACCAAATTTAGTACTTTTCGTACAAATGTAGGACGCATTTCCAAACCACCGCTAAATCTCGGACCCAAATACCATTAGTAATCTAAATATCAAATTTTTGAATTTTAGCCTATCCCTTCACCCAATACAAAATTTAGTACCATTTAGTACTTTTTGTACAATAATAGTACACATTTCCAAAACCTCCTCCATATGCCCAGGTTACATATGAACAGGGACTCTAATTTCAAATTTAAGAATTCAAGCACTATCTGTCCAATCGATACCAAATTGTACCAAATATAGTACCATTTAGTACTTTTCGTACAAATAAAGGATGCATTTCCAAAACACCGCTAAATCTCTGATACAAATACCATTAAGAAACGTAAATATAAATTTTCAAAATTTACAATACCAAATTTTGTACCATTTAGTACTTTTTGTCCAATTACAGTACACATTTCCAAAACCACCTCATATCTCAATTCCAGATACTTACAGAGACCTCATTATCAAATTTGAGCATTCCTGCCCTATCTCTTCATCCAATACCAAATTTAATACCATTTGGTACTTTTCGTACAAGCAAAGGATGCATTTCCAAAACACCGCCAAATCTTAGACACAGATACCATTAAGAAATCTAAATATCAAACTTCAGAATAGTATCTTATCCCATCACCCAGTACCAAATTTTGCACTATTTAGTACTTTTTGTACAACAATAGTACACATTTTCGAAACCACCTCCATATGTCCAGGCTACACATGAACATGAACCACATGACCCTGAAACCAAATTTCAGATTTCAAGCACTATCTGTTCACCCAATACCAAATTGTACCAAATATAGTACTATTTAGTACTTTTCGTGCACTTGTAGTACAAAACCACAAACCAACCATACACAGGGGCCACGATATAAAATTTTAAAATTCCAGCCTCAGCCGTTCAGCCTAAACCAAACTAAGTACCAAATTAAGTACCATTTAGTAGAATTCGTACTTCTTAGTACACTTTTTTTCAAAACCAAATTTCAAGTTTTTTGCTCCATCTAGTTAAAATGACGCATTCTATTGTGAAATTTTAAAAAAGATCTATTTATGACCTACAAGTACCAAAAAAGTACAGCAGTAATCAATAACTCCCATCCCTGGCCACTACTTATCTTGTTGTCCTCTTTTTCCCAATTTATCAAATAAACATGTTGTGCTTCATAAAAGTGCGTGTCAAACTATTACAAACCAGCAAAGCCTAAAGCGGACCAAAAAAAAAAAAAAACTACGGCGTTTTCAAAACAAAGTGAATTTAAAAATAAAAATCCACCCCCTATTTTTTTGTGTTCCTATTTCATTTTTTTATTGTCTTTTGCAGATGTCAAACTCATATTAAGTGAATTGAATATAAAAAAACAACAACAACTACTACTACTTGAATAAAAAATATTGAAAATAACAAAAAAATTAAAAAAATCAAAAAATCAAAACCAAAATAAATTCAATTTTTTTCTGTTATTTGTGAATGTGTTTTGTGTTTGTCGCGTCAGATTTACGTACGTATCGTCGTCGTTTTGTTGTGTGATAATCACATTTGGCTCTCTTCTCGAAGAATAAAAAACGGAAGAGAATAAAAGAAAACAAAATCTTAAATTGTGAAACAAAATTCTTTCAATCTCCAAAAATAAAAACCTGCAAAAGGAATCCAAAAATTCTTCTAAATGTAATTAATGCAAATCAATCTGTTGTCATCGTCTTGTAATTGTTGTAATTGTCCCCGTACCCCCCAGGAGAATCATTAGTATCACTACTACTACGACTACTACCAGACAACAAAATGACCACAGAAATCCAGGAGAAATTCAGCGATCACATTAAACCCCATCAACAACAGCATAAATCCGCCAGTGGCAATGGACGTGCCGTCGATGAGGGCGGAGGAGGAGGCGGAGGCGGTGGCAAGACACAAATGCCAGCTGCAACAACCACAACAGCGGAACCCCAAACGCCCTCTGAAATCAGCAACAACATGTTGTTGGCGACAACGACAAATGACGCAGGCGCTAATGAATGCTCAAGCAGCAGTGATATTTTGGATGCCACCACTCCAAACATGAAATCCAAAACCAAATCCAAATTAATTTTGGCAAACAATAACAACAACAACAACAAAAAATGTCAACAATTGCTGCAAACATCTGATGCCGAAGAAGGTTTCCTTTCCACCTCTCCGGACAGCGCCAACGAGGAATTGTTGCTGACCAGCAAATCGAACAAACATCAATCTGGCAACAATGAAAATGAACTCAAAACCAAGAATAACGAACAAACTGTAATATCCTCCACCGGTGGTGGTGGTGCGGTTACCAACCCCACTGGTGTTGCCCCACCCTTGCCCCCGCCCTCCATATACAATTGCAGCAATCCCAAGGATTGTGTCAATATCAAACACATTTTGGAGTCCTTTAAGGCCCCCCTGTCGGAGGAGCAAGCCTGGGCTTTACTCTATCAATTTATGTCCTTATATCGTCGTGTCGCCGCCACCGGGCAGAGGCACATTTTCAATGACTTGGAAATACCTGAGTCTATGGAAAATATGAGCTTACATCGTGATGGCAGAGTCCACTGCAGCTGGAGTGAGGTGGAACGCAAGAAACGTGAAAGGGTTTTGCAAGAGCAACGCCAGCATCAGCAGGAAGCCGAACAGAGTGGTGAGTGTTAGATTTAAGAAAAAAAAATCGGAAAAATGGACTGATTTTCAAAATTTCATATTTAGCACTATTTTGTACTTTTTGTACAGTTATAGAACACATTTCCGAAAACCACCTTCATATCTCAATGCCAGGTCTTAACAGACCCCTCAATATCAAATGTGAGAATTTCAGCTCTATTCCTTCACTCAATAACAAATTTAGTACCATTTTGTACTTTTCGTAAAATAAAGGACGCATTCTAAAACCATAGCCAAATTTCAAACACAGATACCAGCAGTTATCTAAACATGAAATTTCAGAATTTTATCTCTACTTTTTCACCCAGTACCAAATACACCATTTGGTACAATTATAGTACACATTTCCAAAACCACCTCCATATATCTAGGATACACATGAACTGCGACACTTTTATCAAATTTGTTTAGATTTCAAGTGCCATCAGTTCACTAAATACGAAATATAGTACTATTTAGTACTTTTCTTGCACTTGTATTTCTCAAATCCACCTATTTATCACAAATCAACCATCAACAGGGACTGTTCCACATTTAGTACCATTCAGTACCTTTCGTACAAATATAGGACACATTTCCAAATCATCGTCAAATTTTAAATACAGAGCCATCAGTAATCTAAATGTCAAATATCAGAATTTTATCTCTATCCCATCACCCAATACCAAATTTAGTACTTTTCGTACAAATATAGTACGCATTCCGAAACCATAGCCAAATCTCAAACACAGACACCATCACTGTACTCTAAATATCAAACTTCAGAATTTTATATCAATCCCTTCGCCCAATAACAAATATGGTACCATTTAGTACTTTTCGTACAATTTTTGGTACACCTTTTTAACAAGATGGACCCCCGTACAAAATTTCAACATTTCAGCTTTATCCTTCACCCAAAAGCAAACTGGCGCAAATTTAGTAACATTTAGTACTTATTGTACAAATACAGAACGCATTTCCAAGCCACCGCCAAATCTCAAACACAGACACCATCAGTACTCTAAACATCAAATTTCAGAATTTTATCTCTACCCCTTCATCTAAACCACAGTCATATGTCCAGGCTATCCTTGAACAGTGACCCTAATACCAAATTTCAGATTTCAAGCACTATCTGCTCACCCAATACCAATACCCAATACCGTACCAGATATAGTACTATTTAGTACTTGTCGTCCACTTGTAGTATACATTTTTAAAGCCACCTCTTTATCACACCCATACCACCAACATTTCAGCTTTATCCTTAACCCAAAACCAAACTGTTCCAAATTTAGTACTATTTAGTACTTATTGTACAAATATAGGACACATTACCAAACCACTGCCAAATCTCAAACACAGATACCATCAGAAATCTAAATGTCAAATTTCGGGATTGCAGTTCTATCCCTTCGCCCAATACCTAATATAGTACCATTCAATAGTATCCGTACGATTATAGTGCACATTTCCGAAACCATCTGCCTATGTCCAGGCTACATATGAACGGCGATCCTTATACAAATTTTCAGGTTTCTAAAACTCTCAAATAAACTTCTCAAACTAATTTCAAAAATTTCTTCCATATCCCAATCATAGACCCCGCCAGTAAATTCAAATTTTAGAATTCCAACTCCATCCGTTCCTCCAAATACAAATTGTACTAATTTTAGTACGGTTTAGAACTTTTCGTGTACATGAGCACACACTTCCAAAACTTCCTAGTTACATCGACTCTACTTCTCAACTTTGATTCCCATTCCAAATATATAAATACGAAATAGTACCAAATCTTGTACATTTTAGTACTTTTTCTACACTTATAGTGCGAATTTTCAAAAAAACCCTTTGGTACATCTATCATTCTAGCTCTACTGTTTCCTCTAATAAAATATCGGTTAGTAGCTTTTAATTATTTTCTAGTATGAATTTGCAAAAACCCAGTAACCAAAAGTGACCCTCGCCTAAATTTTCAAGATACTAGCTTTAGCCGTTCTGTCTGGGCGATGATGAATCGTTAAGTCAGTCAAATTCTTTACTCTTTAACAATATGAATTGGGATTTTTCCTTTTTCGGAAAGAATATTAGGAAAAGGCTAGAAATCGTTCAGATTCTACTCATACCGAGTGTTCTCTTAGTTTATTGTACCCCTCAGCCATGTGGCTGAAGAGGAGAGATATATCATTTTATACGGCCAAAACGTGCCTCATCGAAATAACGGTTTTAGAATCTAGGTCTCTTTGGTCTCATACTCTTCGATCACACCCGTGACCAGAGCACAGAGGTGTCTAGAGCTACAAAATGCTTTGTCGAATTGGGTAGATACTGAAACTCTCTCCAGCGCGGATAGAAAAAGAAACCGACAATATTTTATTTCCTATGTCGCTCGAATAAGAGCGAGCTTTGTCTATTCTCAAGAGAATGTAAAATCCATCAGAGATCGTTCTTATTCTGCTCTTATCGAGTATTCTTTTAGTTTATTATACCCTCCACCATAGTATGGAGGGTATATTATGTTTGTCATTCCGTTTGTAACACCCCGAAATAAAAATTCTATGTCGATTTAGTGATTTCCGTCCGTCTGTGGAAATCACTCTAGCTTCCGAATGAAGTTAAGTAGCTTGATAAAATTTTACTCAAATGTGTATTATGTCTGCAGAACTTTTGGAGTGTAGGTCCACGTTTTAGTATAGCCCCCACATAATGGTACCTCCCTATATTCGGTATTTTTGTGGTTTAAGCGACATTATTCATCGGAATTGTTTGAAATTCGGTATTTGAAGTTCGTAATTGGTACTACAGCCTAGAACAGAAATTTGTCTATGCAGGCCCACGTCTTCGTATAGCCCCCATCTAATGGTACATCCCGATATTCAATATTTTTATGATTTAAGCGACACTATTCACCGGATTTGTTTCAAATTTGACATTTGAAGTTCGTAATGGGTACTACAGCCTAGGACAGAAATTTGTCTGTGCAGGCCCACATCTTCGTATAGCCTCCATATAACGGTACTTCCCGCTGTTCGGTATTTTGATGATTTTTAGCGACATTATTCACCGGAATTGTTTCAAATTTGGTATTTGAAGTTCGTAAAGGATACTACAGTCTATGCCTAAGAATTTCGTATGCAGGTCCACGCATTCATATAGCCCCCATATAACGCTAACTCCCGATATTTGGTACTTTGATGATTTTATCGACATAATTCACCGGAATTGTTTTAAATTTGTCATTTGAAGTTCGAAATAAGTACTATAGCCTAGGACAGAAATTTGTCTGTGCAGGTCCACGTCTTCGTATAGCCTCCATATAGCGGTAACTCCCGATATTCGGTAATTTGATGATTTTAGCGACATTATTTACCGGAATTGTTTGAGATGTCGTATTTGAAGTTCGTAATGGGTACTACAGCCTAGGACAGAAATTTATCTGTGCAGGTCCACGTCTTCGTATAGCCTCCATAGAACGGTAACTCTAACTGAATATAAACAGATTTTTATCAAGTTTCACATTTTAGTATTGACTTTTGGCAAAAGTGGCCTATGCAAGTCCACGTCGTCGTATAGAGCCTAATTTAACGGTTATATTTGGTATTTTTAAGATTTCAGCAGAATTTTTAATAAATTATATTTTTTGAAAATTGTCAAAATCGATCCAAATGGTGGAGGATATTTAAAGATCGGCCCGGCCGAACTTACTGCTTTCTAACTTGTTTTTATATTAAATTGATTTTTTCACTCGTGGTGTAAAAAAAATATCCTATTGGGAGCATTTCGACTGCCACTCCTTTTTTCAAACAGAAGAACTCGCGAGGTAGCTCTCACATAAACTCAAGGGACTTAAGAACACATTTCATGTAAAACTTATACTCTTTCAACACTTCAGAGTATTTTTCACTTGAGATTAAAAGAGAACAAATCGGATCTGTGGACTTATTAAAAAAAATTATCCCAACAAGATTTTATGTGAAATGTTTGGCGTTAGTGGGTTTTTATTTCCCTGCTCTATTATCAGCAGTTCGACTATTGTGTCTGGGGTATATTGGAAAGCAAGGTTGACACTAAAAAATACCAAAGTGACGATCACCTCAAGTAAGCGCTTCGCCGGGAATGGGCCATAATACTGCAGAGCAACATTCGGGCAGCGTGTGGCGAATTTATTGGCCTTTTGAAGGCCATAATTGGTTCTAAAGGTGATCAAATCGAACAAATCTAAACTTATTCTAAATTTTGATGCTATTTCTGACATTTTTTGCTTTAATTCAATAAAATTTAAAAATTATGGCGTTTGACTATGTTGCAGTTTTTTTTATCTCACCCTGTATGTGTAGGTTTATGACTCGCTCTGACCTGTTGTTATTCCTTTTGTTTATTAACAGGAAATTATCTCAATTCTTGTTCGGTGGTTAAGTGAGACATTAACTCAATTTCATTTGTTGTTGTTGCTGTCGTTGTTGTTGCCGCTTGCATGTTGGTCATTATGAGGATCATACGAACAACTCGCATCGCATTACCGGCTAATGGACTGCAATTTAATAAAATACAGGGTGAAAATATTTTGATTTCTTCATTGGGCGGGTATGGCTTACACCGAGCTTCTGGCATAATAACTTTCAAAAAAAGATTCGGATATGAATGGGGTTTTTTATTTTTTGGTTCGTTTTCTTTCTTCTAAATAGCTAGGCTATGTTGGCATTTATTTCAGACCTGATCCCCTCTGCTTTTTTTGGTTTGCTTTAACGACGGATCATATGATGAAATTTATGTTTTTCCGGTTTTAATTTCATGTATAAATTACCACTTAATTTTTATAATGAGACCTGTGCCACAATTTCTTTGGCTTTTGAGCGGATGGATTGTTGATGTTGCTCTCTGCCGGTTTTATTTTTATTTTCGTGTAAAAGAAAAATCTTTAAGAAATTTTAATTGCCCACAGATGTGAGTGTGTTTGTGTGTGTGATTGTAAACTCGGGCATTGTTAATTTGTTCAGG